CTGTTTAGAAATAACTCTAAAAATGGTCTTTATATTTTATTTTCACATTGAAAATCCGTCAAATTTGCTTCAACCTCAAAGAGCATGTTGATGTAAAATTAAATGAAAATCTTCAGGGTCTAAAGTTAGGCATTTTTTAAGAATTGTCACTAAAGCATAATTTAAAAAAGGGAAAATTGATAAGGTTGACTCCATCAAAATTTGCTTCGTGAAAGCCCATGTGAAGAGGGTTAAAAGATAAACTACAGGCTGATCAAAAACATTTGCAAACCACATATTCAGTAAAGAACTAGTATCTGTAATAAGAACTCTCAAAAACTCCACACTAATAAAATAAATAATTCATTTAGAAAATAGGCAAAAGACATGCAGATACATCTCTTAATAGGACATGCAGATAATAGGTAAGCACATGAAAAGATATTTGACACCATTCGCCACTAGGGAAATAGAAATTAAAACTGATATAAGAGTTAAAAAGAAATTATTTAGGCAGATAGTGAGGGTAAGGAAGTCCTTGATAAGGTTTTCCTTTCAGTGAAAAGCAGCCCCCAAATAATTTCTTTTCTAATAAAGAGCAGCCTATAAAATTGAGCTTCAGACATAGATAAGCAAGCTGGAAGCTTGCATGGGTGAATGCCAGCAGCTGTGCCAATAGGAAAAGGCTACCTGTGGGCCAGGCATGTTCAACATGGCACCTCCATCTCCCCTTTTCTTTGCCAACCATGTGTACAGTAAGGGACAGACAACATGACACCAGCCAGGAAGAGACCCTATTTGCATAATAAGAGATGAGGGTGGGGTGGCCACCTTCCTCGCATGCTATGTAAATGGCACACCTGGTCCAGCCAATCTTTGGGCCCTATGTGAATCAGATACTGCCTCCTGAAGCCAGTCTCTAAAACCCCATGCACTTCACCACGGAACCAGAAGACCCACCTGGGCACCCCTCTCTCTCTGCAGGAGAGAGAGCTATTCTCTGTTCTCTTTCTTTCACCTATTAAACTTCCACTCTTAAATTCACTACTTGTGTGTCCATGTCCTTGATTCCCTTGACATGAGACAACAAACCTCAAGGATTTACCCCAGACAATGACACTGCTTCAAAACCAGAATAACATATCACTACACATCTATCAGAAAAGCTAAAAAAATAGTAGCAACACTAAATTCTGATTACGGTGCTAAGAAACTGGATCACTCATACATTGCTGCTGGAAATGTGAAAAGATATAGCCACACTATAAAACATTTTGGCAATTCCTTACAAAACTAAAGATACAACCACATGGCCCAACAGTTGCTTTCCTCCCAGAGCCCAAGGGCCATTTACAAAGTCAAACTTGTGACAAGAGGGCCTATATAGCAAAAAAGTTACCAAACAGAATTAGGTTTTATTGGTAAAAAGCTGGGGGAATATTCATGAAATGGAATTATAAGGGTAATGCCTCAGGGATGTAAATTTAAGTTAGCGAAACTGCCATTGCAAAAGTTATCACACTAAGAAAATTATGACAGTGAAAGAGATCTGATCTAACCAACCCAATCTTGTCTTTAACCTCCAAACTGTCCTTAACCTTTTTCCCATTTGCCCTAAGAATACTTGCTGGTGGCACTTGCAGCTGCAGTGCTTACCCCAAGATAACTTTGCCACAAAATATCTCGCTTTTATTATTATTTTTGGATCGCTCTAGTATATCAACTTTGGAAACAAAAGACATCATTCTATTTATAGTATTCTGTTTTTAGTAGTGGTGTTTCCATTTACAAAACATAGTAATTCGTGATTGCTGAAAATGTCAAATTCTAGAAAATGTAGCATTCCTATGCATGATGTTAACATCAAATTAATGTGGGGAACTGACTTGATTGTCCTACTGCCCTACAGTCAAGTAGGTGTTCAGTCTCTACTATGGCCCAATAGCAAGCCAAAAGCTATCTCTCAAAATGAGGGTAATTAATTTTCAAATCAGGTATGATTTTGCCCCAAAACGCCATGGAACTCTCCTCTAATTCTCTTATCAGGGCTTCCACAGAATCCCCCAGCATGTTGATCAGCCATACATATTTTGAAAATCACTGGAATCACTGGTCATAAGTAGGGTGACCATATAATTGATCAATCCAACTAGAACAATGTTGAGAGTAAAAGGAGGCACTAGTAATAAACATGTTGGGAAAATGTATGGTCATCCAATCATAAAAGCCAAGTGATTCATTTGTTCACTCTGCATCCTTTGCCAGCTAGAGTACACATTGAAAGATGAATATAGAAAATTTTGACAAAGAGCTCTCAGTTATATCCTGGATTAGGTTATTGAATTTCAAGGCAAAACTTCTTCAAGCACTCAGGCAGAAAAGGTAAATATTTAATTAGTTATCACACTTTAGTGTGAATGAGAAGTACCTGGATGTACTGTTAAAACAGCCTACTCAACTTTATACTCGGAATTTCTAATTCTGTAGCTATAAAATGGACTTGAGAATTTGCATATTAACAAATTCTCAGGTGGTATTGATGTTGCTAATCCAGGGGTCATACTTTTAAGAACCATTGATCTATAGAAGAAGAAGAAGAAAAAAAAAAAAAAAACATAGACTGTCCTCAGTTTTTTTCCACAGCAACATGTAATACCAAATGATAATATTCTAAAGAGAAACCTATACCAAGATGTAGTTGAAGTTTTAGGTCCACCAACAGCTTTTATAAACATGAACAAACTCTAGGAACATTGCCTTCTAGAGAACCTTTTGCAAAAACCATAAGATGATAAAATCACTCTTTTTTTTTTTTCTGATACTAGGATCTAGGGGTTACAGTGTATTTATGACCTGGCTGTCTAAAGAAAGGTTGTTGTATGGTTTGGCTTTGTCCCTGCCCAGATCTCCATCTTGACTTCCCACGTATTTTGGGAGGGACCCGGTGGGAGGTGATTGAATCATGGGGTCGGGTCCTTCCCATGCTGTTCTCGTGATAGTGAATGAGTTTCATGAGACCTGATGGTTTTAAAAAGGGGCGTTCCCCTGCACAGCTCTCTCTTTGCCTGCTGCTATTACATAAGATGTGACCTGCTCCTCCTTGCTTTCTGCCATGATTGTGAGGCTGCCCCAGCCATGTGGAACTGTAAGTCCAATTAAACCTCTTCCTTTTGTAAATTACCCAGTCTTGGGTATGTATTTATCAACAGCATGAACACGGACTAATACAGTAAATTGGTACCAGTGGAGTTGCTGAAAAGATATCCAAAAATGTGGAAGCAACTTTTGAACTGGGTAACAGGCAGAGGTTGGAACAGTTTGGAGAGCTCAGAAGAAGACAGGAAAATGTGGGAAAGTTTGGAGCTTCCTAGAGACTTGTTGAATGGCTTTAAGAAAAATGCCAATAGTGATATGAACAATAAGGTCCAGGCTGAGGTGGTCTCAGATGGAGATAAGGAACTTGTTGGGAACTGGATCAAAGGTGACTCTTGCTATATTTTAGCAAAGAGACTGGCCGCATTTTGCCACTGCCCTAAAGATTTGTGGAACTTTCAACTTGAGAGAGATGATTTAGGGCATCTGGCAGAAAAAATTTCTAAGCAGCAAAGAATTCAAGAGGTGAGTTGGGTGCCATTAAAGGTGTTCAGTTTAATAAGGGAAGCAGAGCATAAAAGTTTGGAAAATTTGCAGCCTGACTATGCAATAGGAAAAAAATTTTTTTCTAGGGAGAAAATCAAGCCAGTTGTAGAAATTTGCATAAGTAGCAAAGAGCCTAATGTTAATCCCCAAGACCATGGGGAAAATCTCTTCCGGCCATGTCAGAGACCTTCATGGCAGCCCATCACAGGCATGGAGGCCCAGGAGTAAAAAGTGGTTTTGTGGGCTAGGTCCAGAGTCTCCTGCTGTGTGCAGTTGAGGGACTTGGTGGCATGTGTCCCAGTTGCTCCAGCCATGGTTGAAAGGGGCCAACATAGAGCTCAGGCCATGGCTTCAGAGGGTGCAAGCCCCAAGCCTTGGCAGTTTCCATGTGGTATTGGGTCTGTGGGTGCACAGAAGTCAAGAATTGAGGTTTGGGAACCTCTGCCTAGGTTTCAGAAGATGTATGGAAATGCCTGGATGCTCAGGCAAAAGTTTGCTGCAGGGGTGGGGCCCTCATGGAGAACCTCTGCTAGGGTGGTGCAGAAGGGAAATGTGGGGTTGGAGCCCCCACAAAGAGTCCCTACTGAGGCACTGCCTAGTGGAGCTGTGACAAGTGGGCCACTGTCCTCCAAACCCCAGAATGGTAGATCTACCAACAGCTTGCACCATGCACCTGGAAAAGCCACAGGCACTCAATGCCAGCACATGAAAGTAGCTAGGAGGGAGGCTGTATCCTGCAAAGCCACAGGGGTGGAGCTGCCCAAGACCATGGGAACCCACCTCGTGCATCAGTGTGACCTGGATGCAAGATGTGGAGTTAAAGAAGATCATTTTGGAACTTTAAGATTTGACTGCTCTGCTGGATTTCAGACTTGCATGGGGCCTGTACTCCTTTGTTTTAGCCAATTTCTCCCATTTGAAATGGCTGTATTTACCTAATGCCTGTTTCCCCAGTGTATCTAGGAAGTAACTAACTTGCTTTTGATTTTACAGACTCATAGGTGGAAGGGACCAGCGTTGTCTAGATGGGACTTTAAACTTGGACTTCTGGGTTAAAGCTGAAATGAGCTGAGACTTCGGGGGACTGATGGGAAGGCATGACTGGTTTTGAAATATGAGGACATGAGATTTGGGAATGGCCCGGGGCAGAATGATACAGTTTGGCTGTGGCCCCCCCCTAATCTCCATCTTATATTCCCACATGTTTTGAGAGGCACCCGGTGGGAGGTGATTGAATCATGGGGGCAGGTCTTTCCTGTGCTGTTCTTGTGATAGTGAATGAGTTGCACGAGATCTGATGGTTTTAAAATGGGTGTTCCCCTGCACAGCTCTCTCTTTGCCTGCCGCCATCCACATAAGATGTGACCTGCTCCTCCTTGCTTTCTGCCATGATTGTGAGGCTTCCTCAGCCATGTGGAACTGTAAGTCCAATTAAACCTCTTTCTTTTGTAAATTGCCCAGCAGCATGAAAACAGACTTATACAGGTTGTATTTACTAACCTCAGATTCAGATGAGGTTTCCAGTAATATAAAACTTGACAATGCTCTAGGTTTACCTACTACTATATTTCTCTGTCTCCTTTCCTTCCATTCAGCTAAAGAAATTAAGGCTCTGGTGCTGTCAAACTGTCTGACTCATCTGAAATGTAAACTTTTATGTTTGTCAAAAATTGTGAAATATGTTTGAGATGATTAAAATAAATCTGAAGGCTTGGCTAGTTTATGTATGTATGTACCTGAACTTCAGGTGAACTCTATGAACACTGTCCTCTATAAAAAAGTGCAGCTTTTTTTTTTTCTGCAGAATCCTAAAAGATCAGAACAGCTTTTGATTTTTAAGATGACCATCAGAATTCTTTGTTCCCCTTCTGTGGAAGTTGGAAAATAACCCTGAATAAAGATTATCTTTTTTGGGTGTTCTAACATAAACATAACTAGTTTTGTTTACTGTAACAACAAAACTAAGTTGAGAGATGCAGAGCTGTAATGTTAGAGGAAGTATGAGAGTGCCAGTATTTTCATTTTTAATACCAGGAAGTCCATTTGAAACCTGAGGGTTTAAAGCACAACGATTCTAACTGCATCATGTTTTTCTTTGTCTCCTTTCGTAATCTAGGAGGGTTCTTTTAAGAAATAAAATCCCTTGAAATGAAAGATTTAAAGCTTAACAATTCCTCTAGTTTCCCTTCAATTTACTTTTCTTCTGTTAAAATCCAGCAAAACAGTTTTTATTTTTTATTTTTTTTGGACAAAGTCTCACTTTGTTGCCCAGGCTGGAGTGCAGTGACACGGTCACAGCTCACTGCAGCCTTGACCTTCTAGGCTCAAGCGATCCTCCCACCTCAGTCTACCAAGCTGGGAGTACAAGCACATGCCACCATGCCTGGCTAATTTTTTTTTTTTAATTTTTATTGTTAGTAGATACGAGGTCTCGCTATGTTGCTGAGGCTAGTCTGTAATTCCTGAGCTTAAGTAATCCCCCCACCTCTGGTCCCCAAAGTGCTAAGATTACAGGTGTGAGCCACTGCAGCCAGCAAAAGTTTTTTTTTTTTTTAAACTAAAAGTAGTAGCATTCATATGAACACATTTTGAAAGGTTTTCTATTGCTTTCATTCTATATAAGCAGAGAAAAAATACTTGGAATGATGTTCAACTACTATGCTTAAAATTTTCACTGAGGTGTAATATACAAATCAGAAAATTCACTTATGATTGTACAAGTTAACAATTTCTAGTAAATTTACAAAGTTGTTCTACCATCATAACAAACAATTTTAGAACATTTCTATCACTCTGAAAATAACCCTCATGTTCACTTACCATCTCTTCCCACTCCAGTGCTGGGCGACCACTAATTTACTTTGTCTCTACAGATTTGCCTTTTCTGGACATTCTGTACAAATAGAATCACCTCATATGTAGTCTTTGTATCTGACTTCTTTTCTTTAGTATAATGTTTTTGAAGCTCATCCATGTTGCAGCATGTCAGTAATTTATTCCCTTTTATTACAGAAGTCCATGGATATGCCTACCACATCATGGAGTGAATTGTGTCCTTGCCCCCCAAATTCATATGTTGAAGCACTAACCCTCCAGTACGTCAGAATGTAACTATATTTGGAAAAAAGTCCTTTAAGGAGGGTGTTAATTTAAAATCAGGCTATTTAGGGTATGTCCTACTCCAATCTGACTGGTGTCCTAGAAAGAAAAGATCAGGACATACGAGAGAGAAAGTGAGAAGGCTACCATCTGCAAGCCAAGGAAAAGAGGCTTCAGGAGAAACCAAATCTGCAGGCACCTTAATCTTGAACTTCCAGTCTCCAGAACTGTGAGAAGTAAATTTCTGTTGTTTAAGCCACCCAGTCTGTGATATTTTGTTATGGCAACCCTAGCCGACTAACTCACCATTCTGGTGGTTATGAAGTGTTATCTCACTGTGGTTTTAATTTTCATTTCCCTAATGATATATATCATCTTTTCATGTGCTTGTTGGCAATTTTTGTATCTTCTTTGATGAAGTCTCTATTTAAACGTTGCCCACTTAAAACAAGTTGGGTTTGTCTTATTGTTGAGTTGTAAGCCCTCCTGATATATTCCGGTTAGAAGTACTTTATCAGAAATATGATTTGCAAATATGTTCTCTAAGGTTGTAGTTTGTATTTTGTTTTCTTAATGGTATTCTTTTGAAATAAAAAAGTTTTACATTTTGATAAAATTGAATTTATACATTTTATCTTTTAAGGATTATGCTATTGGTGTCATATCTAAGGACTCTGCCTTACCTGAGGACAAAAAAGATTTTCTTATACTTTTTGGGGTTTAGCTCTTACATTTAGATCTATTGTCTATTTGAAGTTAATTTTTGTATAAGGTGTAAGAGTCTAAATCCATCTTTTTGAATGTAACTAAACAAATGGTCTATCACCATTTATAGAAAACACTGTCTTTGCCTCATTGAATTGCCTTAACAGCTTTGTCAAAAATCAATTTATCCACAGCTATAGGAGTTTTTTTCTGAACTCTCAGTTTATGTCATATTGATCAATATTTCAATACCACACTATCTTGATTATTTTATAGTATATTTTAAAGTTGAGAAGTATGTAAATCCTCCAATTTTATTTTTCAAGATTTTTCAAGATTGTTTGGTCTATTCTGGGAACTAAGCTTGCTTATCTGGAATAAATCCCACTTGTTCATGGTGTATTAAAAGATTTGCTAATACTCTATAAAAGATTTTGCTTCTAATTCTAGGAGAGATGTTTAGGTTTTTTTTTGTTTTTTGTAATGTCTTTGACTTTGTACTGGCCTTTTAAATACATTGGGAAATATTTCCTCTTCTATTTTCTGGAACAGATTATGTAAAGTTGGTGTTAATTCCCTTTTAAAAGTTTAGTAGAATTACTCAGTGAGACCATCTGGGCCTGGAGATTTTATTTTGGAGAGGTTTTTTTGTTTGTTTGTTTGTTTGTTTGTTTTTTTCATTAGAGTCTCGCTGTGTCGCCAGGCTGGAGTGCAGTCACATGATCTCAGCTCACTGCAACCTCCACCTCCTGGATTCAAGTGATTCTCCTGCCTCAGCCTCCTGAGTAGCTGGGATTACAGGCATGTGCCACCACACCCAGCTAATTTTTATATTTTTAGTAGAGACAGAATTTCACCATGTTGGCCAGGATAGTCTCTATCTCCTGACCTTGTGATCTGCCTCCCTGGGCCTCCCAAAGTGCTGGGATTACAGGTGTGAGCCACCGCGCTCAGCCTTTGGAGAGATTTTTAATTAAAAATTCAATCTCCTTAATAATAATAGGGCTATTTAGATTGTCTATTTCATCTTAGTTGAGTTTTTGTAGTTTGTGTTTCTCATGGAATTGGTCCATTTATTCTAAATTGTCAAATTTATGAGCATAAAGTCATATGTAATACTATTATCTTTTTTAATGGTTGCAGTATTTGAAATAAGAATTCTTGTTTAAGTCCTCATATTGGTGACTCATTTTCTATTTTTGTCAATCTTGCTAGGGGTTTATTGATTTTATTACAGTTTTCTGAAGAACCATATTTTCCTTTCATTGTATTTTTTAGTAAGATTTTCCTATTTTCAATTTCATTGGCTTCTGCTCTTTACTATTTTATTCCTTCTTCTTGTTTTGGATTTATTTTGCTCTTTTTGAGGAAAAGTAGGAACTCAAATTATCGACATGACACCTTTCTTAACTTTTTTTTTGGGGGGGGGAGTGAAAGTTTATTTAAAAATTTTAGAGAAGGAACGAAAGGAAGTATACTTGGAAGAAGGCCAAGTGGGCAACATGAGAGATCAAGTGCCCCTTTCTTCATTTTTAATGTAAGCATACAGTGCTATGAATTTTCTTCTTAGCTGTATCCCACGTACTTTGATATGTTTTCATTTATCCTTTTAATTTACTTTGAGACTCCCTGTTTGACCCATCCTTTAATGTTCCATGTGTTGCGGGAAGTCAGGGACCCTGAATGGAGGGACTGGCTGAAGCCATGGCAGAAGAACACAAATTGTGAAGATTTCATGGACATTTAGTAGTTCCCCAAATCAATACTTTTATAATTTCTTACGCCTGTCTTTACTGCAATCTCTGAACATAAATTGTGAAGATTTCATGGACTTTTATCACTTCCCCAATCAATACTCTTATAATTTCCTATGCCTGTCTTTAATCTCTTAATCCCATCATCTTCGTAAGTTGAGGATGTATGTTGCCTCAGGACCCTGTGATGATTGCGTTATCTGTACAAATTGTTTGTAAAACGTGTGTTTGAACAATATGAAATCTGGGCATCCTAAAAGAACAGGATAATGGCGATTTTCAGGGAACAAGGGAGATAACCATAAGGTCTGACTGCCTGCAGGGCCAGGCAGAACAGAGTCATATTTCTTCTCCTGCAAAAGCCAATAGGAGAAATAATGCTGATTCTTTTTTTCAGCAAGGAACAGACCTGGGAAAGAATGCATTCCCAGAGGAAGGCCTCTAAAATGGCCGCTCTGGGAGTGTCTGTCTTATGCAGGTGAAGATAAGGGATAAACTATGCCCTGGTCTCCTACAGTGCCCTCAGGCTTGCTAGGATTAGGAAATTGCAGCCTGGTGAATTGCAGTCAGACTGGTTGTCTGCTCTCGAACTCTGTTTCCTGTTAAGATGTTTATCAATGACAATGCGTGCATAGTGGGACATGAAACCTCATCAGCAATTCTAATTTTGCCCTGGCCTTGTGATCTTGCTCTGCCCCCATTTGCCTTGTGATATTTTATTGCCTTTTGAAGCATGTGATCTCTGTGACCCACACCCTATTCATATGCTCCCTCCCCTTTGAAAATTGCTAATAAAAACTTGTTGGTTTTACAGCTTGGGGGCATGATGGAACCTGTCAACATGTGATGTCACCCCCTGAGACCCAGCTGTAAAATTTCTCGCTTTTGTACTCTTTCTCTTTATTTCTCAGAAAGGCTGACACTTAGGGAAAATAGAAAAGAACCTACATTGAAATATTGGGGGCTGGTTCCCCCAATATCCATTTATTCTTTAATTTCCTTTGAGACTCCCTGTTTGACCCATAGATTATTTAGAAGTATGTTATTTAACTTTCAAGTGTTTCAAGAGTTTCCTGTTGTCTTTGTTAGAGATTTTCAGTTTAATTTCATTATGGCCAGAGCACATGATTGCAATTCTTTTAAATTTGTCAAGTTTACTATATATTTTATGTCTTTTTCTATTTGATGAATAGTGCATGGGCAATTGAGAAAAATGTATTGTTAGGCGGTATGTCTTATAAATGTTAATTAGACCCTGTTGATTGTGTGGCTCAGATTTTCCATATCCTGGTGATTTTTCTACTTCATAGTTCTATTAGTTACTGGAGAAAGGGGAGAATGATGTTGAAATTCCCAACCATAATTATAGATTCTTCTATTTCTCATTTCAGCTTTATCAGTTGCTGCTTCAGGTATTTAAGGCTCTATGGTTTAGTTTGTATGCATTTAGTATAATGTGTCTTCCTAATTGATTCTCTTATCATTATATAATATCCCTCTTTGTTTTGGTAATTTTCTTTGCTTTGCAGTCTACTTTATCAGACACTACTATTGCTACTCCTGTTTTTTTAAAAAATTATTAATGTGTATGTGATAGATCTTTTTCCACCCTTTTTTACTTTCAACTCACCTGTGTTTGAACTTGAAATAAGTTTCTTATATGCAGCACATAGTTGGATTATGGATGGTTTTTAACTCTACCAGTCTCTGTCTTTTGATTGGTGTATTTAGACCATTTATATTTAAGGTGTGGTATTTACTGACATTTTAGCACTTTAGTCTGTTATTTTGTTATTTATTTTCTATTTGTCTCCTCTGGTTCTCATTTCTTTTTATCTTTCTTGCCTTTCTGCAGCTTATTTAAACATGTTTTAGATTCCATCTTGATTTATTTATAATACTTCTGAGTTTGTCACTTTGTATAGTTTTCAGAGTGGTTGCTCTGGGTGTTACACATGCTACTTATAACAATGTACTAGTATCAATATTCACCACTTCAAATGAAGTGTGGAAACCTCACTTCCATTTAGGTCCCTTTGGATTCCCCACCTTTAAATATCATTGTTTTAAGTATCAGATGATGTTCCAATTTTTGTTTCAATCATAAAATATATTCTCTAAAACCCATAAGGAAAAAATTGTCTATTGTATGAACCCATATTTCTGCTCTATTGTTTCTTCTTCCTTCCCGATGTTCTAAGTTTCCTTCTTTTACAATTTCTTTTCTGTTTGAAGAATTTCCTTTAGCTAATCTTTGAAGGGTAGACTGGCTAGTCACAAAATCTTTTAGTTTTCTTTCATCTGTGAATGTTTTTATAATCCTTTCATTCCTAAAAGATAGTTTTGCCAGATCTAGAATTACAGGAGACAATTCTTTTCTTTCATCCCTTAAAAAATATTTGGCCACTTCCTTATTTATGGATTCAGATGAGAAATCCATTCAAATTGGTGTTCCCCTACAAGTAATGCACTATTTCTCACTTGCTGCTTTCAGGACTTTGTCTTTAGTTTTCAAAAATTTATAATGTGCCTGGGCATGGAATTTTTTTTTCTTCTGTGGGATTCATCCAGCTTCTTGAATCTCTAAGTTAGTGTCTTCTATATAATTGGGAATGTTTCCAGCCTTATTTCTTCAAATACTCATTCATCCCTATCCTTTTTCTCCTTTGCTTTCTGTTACTCCGATAATATGAATGCTGGATATTTTGTTATTGTTCCATAGGTCCCTGAGGTTTGTTTATTTTTTCCAGTTTATTTTCTCTCTATTGTTCAGATTGGGTAAATTCTATTGTTCTGTCCT